CTGATCTAGTCCCCACTTCTAACGGCACTCGTCCCCTGCCCCACGCCACTGATCACAGATGTTCATAAACACTCCTCATTAATACCATCCTGCTTCATATTTCACATTCATTCCAGGGTTATATAGTTCACTAAAACTAGAACCATAAAAAACATGTCATGTGAAATAAACTTTGACTAACAAAATATTTTTTGTAATTTTTTTATTTTAGTTAAAGTTTATTCTATTTCAACTTAAACTAAAAGATATTGAAATATTTTACATTGGTCTATGCTTTTTTGCATTATTGATACACTATTTTCCTATTTAATACTGTAAAGTTGCTTTGACACAATCTGTATAGTTAAAAGCGCTGTATAAATAAAGGTGACTTGACTTGACTATACAAGAATCTCAGTGACACTAAATGAAGACTGACCTGACTGTGCAGCACAGCGTTCTCCTTATGGTGGCGCTGTTCAGCCGTGTCCAGAGCGAGGAGGTACTGGCCCTTAGACTCCTCATACTTCTTCCTATACTCCACCTGACGGACATATACATAATACTGTGAACGAATGATGCTTCAAAATGAATCTCAACACAAACTAATCATCACAGCTGATGCAGAATGTAACAGAATCATCAGACGAGTGAATCAGAGTCTGTACGTTGCTCTGTAGTTTGCTGGCATGGAGCGCGTGGCCCAGATGAAGCAGGTTGGGTAAATCAGTGACGGCCTGCAGCTTCTTCTGACTGTACTTCACCTGTCACACACACACACACACACACACACACACAAACACGTGTGATGAACACATGCACACACTCCTCATACACCATAATGACTCAACAAGGGAAAATCTCCTCAAACGGCTGTGAAAGTGTTTCCATGGACACCAGTGCAGTCTGGCAGGAATCAGACGCATCTTTAGAGGAGCAAAACAACATGAGCTGAATGAAGAGAACAGATCATCCTGGACAGCCATTCAGCGTGAGTGTATGTGTGTGTGTGTGTGTGTGTGTGTGTGTGTGTGAGTGTGTGAGTGTGTGTGTGTG